TTCAGGAAGGTCATCAAGCTCCATGTGCTCATCACAGGTGTTATATCCAGGTGAGGATGGCAAATTCTCATTAGATTGCAGCAACTCCAGGGAGTCATTAATTCCTGATGTTTTCTTGTCCATCACCAGCTGGAGTTTCTGTACTGTGTTAGGCATCTGGTTTGTCTTCACTTCCCACACCGTTTTGTGGTTCTCTGACTGCCTCGGAGTGTGGGCAGCCCAGGCTTGAGCTACCCTGATCCTGACAATACCACCAGTGGCCCGTGGTCACTCTCTCCAACTGACACTAGCCTCCCTGGAGCACATTACCAATCTCACTGCCAATCTTACTCCTCAACCGAAACTTTCCTCGTGGGTTTATTGTAGATGTCAGGGAAAAGAACAATCAGAGTGGCTAGCCTCAACGATTTCCTGCCTTGTTTTATACAAAAGTTGATTTGAAATTAGCCAAAGAAAAGTTTCCAGGGACATTGTTAATCATCGCTGGACTAGTTGGTGGTTTTTGGTTGGACATGATAGGGAATACAAGAACACCAGCCAGGGGATAAAAACTAACTTTTGGACATGCTCAGTGAAGATGAGAGTTCAGTCAGGTGGTGGAGTACATGAAGGCCAGGTGCATGGAGAAGTCTGAGCCTTGTATAGTCGATGTGGTTGCTAGAAGTTGATATGTGATGGTTTAAAGTATGACAGTAGATAAGGTCATGCAATGTGAGTGTGGCTGAAAAGGAGAGGCCCAAGAACAGCTTTCTTTAATGGGAATATAGAAGAGCCTTTCTTTAGAAGGAATAATGAACAGAGAAAAACCAAAGGTGGAAAGGTCCCAAAAACAGAGGAAGAATTGCCAGCGGTGACCATCAGTTCTTCCCTTGTGAAATGTGATAAATGTTCTACTTTGCACTGTCCTGAGGATAATATGAAATCATGTCAGCAAAAACAATCCTTTGTAAATTGTACCTGTGGTACATAAATGAAGTATTACCATCACTCTAAAAAAACAAACAACAAAAATATTCAGTTCCAGCCGGCTTGTGCGTTTCCAGATGCTGGAAGACACTCTGTCCTCCTGGCTGGGCATCAGCTTCAGGTGCCACAAGAGCCATCCAGGGAACTTTAAAGAAAATACTTAGGCCCATACCAACATACCACCATGGCCATTTGATTAAAACATGTTCAATAGAGTTATTTCAATTCCTATCACAGGTGCTTCATTTCTTTGAGTGCCCGCTCTGTGCTCCTGCGTGTGTCCTACATTTACCTTTAATAAATCCTTCTTTTCATGCCACTTTTAAATAAATAAATATTCCTTTCACATTGTTAAATCTACAACCCCCAAATTTGGTGAATTTGGCAAACAGGGCACTTAGCAAATTGCATTTTAGCACAATTCTGTTTTGTAGAGATGATTTTCTGTCAAATACCCATTCATCAGCTGTATTTTCTCCAACTGAACATTACCTACTTGCTTGCCTCTTTCTCCCACATCACAACAGTTAGTTCACTCAACTGTGAATACAGAAAGAATGAACAGGGCTAGGAGTGTAGCTCAGTGGTAAAATCCTGGCTTAGCATGAGGGAGACCCTATGTTCCATTCCCTGTACTATAAAAAAAATGCAATATTAAGAACAATAATTAACATTTTTTCCCTTGTGCTTCCTCCAAACCAACCACTTTTCAAACAAAAAAAAAGAAGACCTCCAGTGTCCTCTAGTCCCGATTTCTGCACAATACCTCATTATTGTTTTCATCAATTTCTTGCCACTAAAACACAACACAGACTTCCACAACTCTAAAGAGGAGAGGTTCATGATTATCCTTCTGGCCACAAGAAACTGCTCCTGATTCCCTGGCCACACAGTGCTCTATTCATATGTTTTAGATAGATCCTAGGCAGGACCCTGAGGAAGGGCGGGAGCAGGGGCTACTATACCACCCAAAGTGCCTGACACCAGGTTTAACAGGTCCACTTCCTGGTGAGAATGGAATCAAAACAGAACACCAACAACAGTCAGAGTGCAGTTTATTTGCACCAAATAAAGAGTTCAGGGTAATCACTACAAATCGCTACTGACTCTACAAAACTAGTGCAAGCTACAGTTTCCTTGGGCTGGAAATGAACACTCAGGAGAGGGAAGGGCATTGTTACCTGTATGAGTACAGATGATTCTGTGCTGGTGGTCTGACAACGTACTCTTTCATACTTCCGGTGTTATGGAAATGAGGCTGTAGCTCTTCCCTGCATGGAGATTTTGGTATTCTGATGCACTACAGGTCACCTCTCAGTCACTGGCTCATACTCCTTAGGGTACTTTGTGGAACATCTTTTCTAAAGAACCACTTAAAGAGTAATTTAAAAATCAACCATCCATATCTGGGGACTCATTGTAGTGAATGGAGAGCCTGCACCTGCCTCGCCAGTCTACTAAGCGTGTCAGAAAGTCTGCACCTTGCTTTCTTGGGCTGTTGGTGAGGAGAGGCCTCATCCTGCATTATCAGGCCACTAAAGGGGAGGCAGCTGCCTGCTGACATTTCTGGCTGCCACTTGATTAACAGACCCATTCCACTCTCCAGCCTTCTCATTGGAACTTGGGGGTTGGGGTGCTATTGCTCTCTAATCCCTGATAATCTAATCATCATTCCTTGTAGTCTGTGTATGTGTCTTTGGGGGTACGGAGTTGAATTTAAGTGTTTTTGCCCAAATAACTAACCAATTGTCCCAGAATAACTTATTGTCCATTCTTTCCTCCTCAATCTAGCATTGTCTTCCTTATAATATAAATGTTTGGATGTGTATCAGATCCAGCTTTGGAGTTGGTATTATTTTCCATTTGTTGATTTTTCCATGTTAAATACCAAAGGTTTGTAATTATCATATTTTTATAGCATCTTGATATCTGATAGACCAATCTAATGGGTAAAATACTCATGGCAATCCTCCTACTTCAGCCTCCTGAGTGCTGGGGTTACAGGCATGTGCCACCAAGCCCAGCACCACTGGTAACTTTAATATTTATGAGATTGGTTCATCTGGGAAATGGATTTTATCACATATTCTGGAATTCATTCTTCAACACATTATAGCCCAAGTATCTCATGAAAAAAAAAAAAAAAGAAAAAAGAACACTGCTTGGTTTCTACGCCAACTGAAGAAGTTCTGGGAATATTCTACATCTCACATAGCACAGTCATTAGGAGCTGGAACTCTAAAGCTGGAACCCTGGGCTACCAGTTGGCCAGGATTCCCTACCCACCATGCATTACATGTTCTTGGGTATTTCTTTATGCTCAAGTTCCTCTTGTTTCAAATAAGAATCGTGTATTCATAGGTTGTTTCAAGAATTCAATGAGCTAATCTTGTATAATACTTAGAACAATGCATTGAACATACTAAGTCCTCAGTAAATAACAGCTATTTGTCTTTACCCATTTTTAAGGCCCAGACAAAGTGCAAATCTTGTTTAAGTGCATATTAAACACACTGGTACAATTCATTTTGGTATATTTGTATATGAATGTAACATACTCCAATCATTCTGTCAGGCACCCTCTCTCTCAACCCCTCCCCGTCTCTTCCTCTTCTCATAGTCTCCCCTCCACTTCCATGCTATCTCCTTTCCCCCCTAGATTCCACGTATGAGAGAAACTATGTGTTATTTGACCGATTCTGGCTTATTTTACTTAACATGATGGTCTCTGTCTCCATTCATTATCCTTCAAATGACAGGATTTCATTCTTCTTTATGGCTGCAAAACACGCTGTGTGTACGAAGAGCATATTTTTTAGCCATTCATCTGTTGATGGACATCTAGGCTATTCCCATAGCTTAGTTACTGTGAACTGTGCTGCAATAAATTGGATATTCATGAATCTCTATTGTATGATAATTTTTCCAAGACCAAACAGTCTTTCTCTGAGGAAATGCAATCAAAACGCTTGAGCTCACTATGCCTCCCACTGCACACTGATGACCAGGCCTGACACATATACTAAAGGCTCAGTAATAATGACTGAAACTTAACACTACAGGCCAGACACTGTGGAGAGCTTTCTTTACACGTTAATGTACTGTATTTAATCCACCCCAAAACGACTGAGATAGGAACTGCTATAACCTCATTTTACAGATAGGGAAACTACAACACAGCCGGGCACAGAAATATCAACAGAGGAGTCAGGACTTAAACCAAGGCAGTGTGCTCCACAGTCCCTGGGTCGTCAACTTAGATCCACCTTAACTGATGAAGATGAAAAGCATCACTTTTCACCAACCACAGCACAGAGCATAAGTTCAAAACCTAGACTCAAGGAGAATGAGGCAGGAGGATCGCCATGAATTCCAGGCCAGCCTGGGCTACATAGAGAGGTCATTGCCAGCCTGAACTACAGAGCAAGACCGTCTTTTGAAGAGAAAAAAAAAAAGTTATTCTCACAGCTATAGCAGTGAACACCATCTACTCTTAACAGCTTTATCTTAAACCCAGCAAGGTGACACCCAGTGTAGACATCTCCCTACAAGATAATGAGCATCCCGCAAGCAGCGCTCTGGCATCAGTACACCTTGATCTCTCTATATAAACTAGGCACAGCTACATTTGCCCGGAGTGTTTTTTTTTTTAATTAATTTTATTGGTACATTTAAGGTACACAATATAATGACGTCCATCATTGGAAGTTTGCACCTTTACATAATCCATCTTGGTTCCTATTTTTTAACCCTTCCCCTGCCTCCCTTCAACCCCTCCATCCCGCCCTATCTACAAAGGCTTTGTTTCGCGGTATCTCCCGGGTCTGGCGGTGGCGCAGGAGCGATCGCTCCGCCCCTTCCCGCTCTCACGCCTCGGGTCCCGCCGAGCGAGGGCGGGGAGGCGCTGCCGCAATGGCGCCGACCGCTGGCGACGCAGCCTACTTCCAGAGGTCAAGTCTGTTCTGGTTCACCGTTATCACCGTTTCCTTTGGCTACTACACGGTAAGGACAGGCCTCAGGTTCCGCGCTCTTGGTAAGGAGAGGCCGCGCAGGCTCACTGGTAGGCCAGGGCCTGGACGAGTGCTCCGGCCTCTGAGGAACCGGCTAGTCAGGCTTTTCCTGGCTATGGTTGGGGCGCTCTCCACCCAACGATTCTTTCAACATGGTGGTGGCGAAGTCGGAGGCCAGTAGGGATCCTACCGCCTACTTCCGTCCAGCCAGACTTCTGCCCGCGCTGATCACAGTCCTGGGGCTGGGATACTTCACGGTGAGGTTTGGGGTCGGCGGCGCGAAGGGGGCTGTGGGAATGGTGTCTCTGCGCACGCGCGCGTGGTGGTTGCTTAGGTTACTGGAGTGCACTAGGTGCTACCGAAGCGAGCGCGGCCTATGAAGAGTTCTTGGCCCTCGCGTCGCCCCCCTCCCACCTCTACAGTTTTTAAGGTTTGCAATAGTCTGAGCCCCTCACAGAGGCAGAATTAAAGTCGACCGTCTGCCCTAGAGCTGTCAATTCAGGATGAGGGCTTCTGAAGCCGAATGAAGCAGTTGGAATTGGTTGGGAAGTGAGGATAAACCAAAAGGGTGGGTAGGATTTGACTGATCAGAAGTGACAGAGAGGATGTAACTGCTCTGACGCATGTGTGGAAGCACGAAGACAGCTCTCCAGAGGAAGAGTCTAGCTGAGACTTTGTTTAAAGATAAGAGGAAAGGACCTGAGAAATAGATTGAGGGCTACATTGGTATAATTTTGAACAAAGGTAAAGCTATTTAGATATTGCCCAAGAGATCTTGGAGACGAGGGATTTGTCATGTCCATAGTATTGTTGGTGTCAGGGGTGACCACCTCTGTCCTGGTTTCCTCATATGTAAAATAAAGACATTAAAATGAAATCTTTCTAAGGTGAGTTTCAGTTCTTCGATTCTGTGTCTCTGACTGAATTGAATGTAGAAAGAAGAAAGCTTTGGGGACTTCAAATTGCGATATTGTGGAGCTGGCAGATGCTCATTCTGTTCCCTGTGATTCATTGGAGGAAAGATAGTTTTGTTTTGTTTTTATGTACCAGGGATCGAACTGAGGACCTTGAGCTAAATCCCCTCCCGAAAAGATAGTATTCTTGACAGATATGAATGCGAATGAATTTTGGAGCTGTTTGGAGCTGTTAATTATTCTCAGAAAAACGTAAACTGGCAGAGAATACAAGATGGAAAAATGAAGAAAAGCTGATAATTTTACATAAATCTCATGTTGATTGTGCAGTTACTTTTAAAACTTTACAACTCTGATCATCTGCATTTTCCATCCCTATTCAGTGGATCTTTCTTAATTTGACAGGTACAATAAGTGAAAGAAAAGGAAGGAGTTCCAAATTAAGCGAGGTTCACTTCAAGTCATAGCTTTTGCAGTAAGAACTTGCTAAAACACATAAACTCGTAAAAAATTGTTAGTAACCTCTATAAAATGTTCCGCTGAAATTCATTAGAATACAAATCAGCCACCCTGGGCCTTGAGTCTGATGACCATATATTTTCTCTGTAAATCCCACTAACACTGCTTTTAGAAAACAGAAGTCAAAATTGGAGGAGCAAATGATTTTGGTCAGCGTTTCTTTGGTCTGTGTTTCTGTATAATCAGTGTTTGTTTGTTTGTTTGGTTTTGGTTTTGGTACTAGGGATCGGACTCAGGGCCTTGCGCTTGTGAGGCAGGCATGGTGCCACTGAGCTAAATCCCTGGCCCAAATCAGTATTATTTTATAGCTGCTCTCAAACATTCACTGATCTTTTACATGATTTAACAGACACTCTGTGCTTCTGGTTCTCTTTCAGTGGGTTGTCTTCTGGCCTCAGAGTGTCCCTTATCGGAGTCTTGGGCCACTGGGCTCCTTCACGCAGTATTTGGTGGGCCACCATCACATCCTCCTGCGCTATGGGTAAGGACCCTGCAGCTGCAGGCTCACTGGATGCCTGGAAGGCCTGCAGGTGGCATTGGATGTCCACCAGCAAAGCCAGTTCACATTAAGACACTTTTCTTTTTAAAGCTTCTGTGGTAATTTCATCACCTTAACCTAGAAACGCTTCTCTGTTTTTGGCTTCAGATACTGGCTTGCCTGGCTGATTCATCTTGGAGAGTCCTTATTTGCCATGGTATTGTGCAAGTAAGTCTTTGTCACCTTTCTCTTAGTGTCGAAGTTGAGAATGGTTACATTTAAATAAATAATTCATGCACTTGTAGGCTGAGAGTACTTCCTTGGGTGGATTTGAATCTCCATACCTAATACCAAGCCTGCCAGAGAGGGAGGACTCAGTAAATGTTTGATGAATGAATTCAGTTTGTTTGTGTTGGTTCATTAGTTGTTTGTTTTTTTTACCTGGGATGACTTTTGTTATATTTTTTTAATGCTCTATAAACCTCCAAATAGAACAAAAGAGTAAGTCTTCTAGCTTGAAAAGAGCTAAATTATTGGCAGGCTGATGATTCTAATCTGGTTTGACAGCCAAGTCAACTGAGTAACTTTCTCAAAATAAACATGTCTGCTTTCCAGACCCAGAGATTCTGATCCAGTAGGTCTTGCTCCTGACATAGGAATATGTTTCTCTTAAAGCTCCACACATAATTCTGTCCAGTGTGATCATCTGCAATAGTGTGTAGTTCCCGGTGCTCTCTTTACTCTTTCCAATCAGGTAATGAGCCTTTCCCAAACCCCAGGGGCCTCGTGTCCTCTCCGGGTGCTTCCGTTGAAGCAGTTCCCTTTGCTTGACTTATGATAGGAAATGCTAAAGCACTATACTGTGTTATCGCTTTCCATTGGCCTCTTCAACCTCATAGTGAAGTCTTGCCTTGGGAGTATTTCATGCAGCCCTTCAACTTAGAATGCAGCAGCACCTGACACCTGTTTTTATATTGGCCTTTGGACTCTCTGATGAAAACTGAAGGACTCTGTTTTTTGGGCGTGGTGGCACATACCTATTATCCCAGCTCTCCAGAGGCTGAGGCAGAAGGATTGCTTCAAGTGTGAGTCTAGCCTGAGCTACGTAGTGAGTTCAAGGCCAGCCTGAACTACATAGTGAGAACTTGTCTCAAAAAACAAATTCACACACACACACACACAAAAAAAACAAATTCAGCAACAACAAAAAACAAGGACTGCCAGGGGCCGAGGATTTAGCTCAGTGGTTCTGCCACCTGCCTCGCAAGCGCAAGCCCCTGTTCCATCCCTGGTACCAAAAAAAAAAACCAAGCACTGCCATTCACAGAGCCTAGAATCACCAAGTGGCAGCAAATCTTTAATTTCCTTTCCTAAGTATTGTATCTTACATACTTCTAGGATAATATGTTTATTTTCCATTTGCCCATTTCAAAACCAACATGTTTGCTGATAAAAGTTATATATGTTGAAAGTGAAGGTTTCCTATTATCCCCAAAGTCATTATTTAGAGCTTAGTATATATCATTATAATTTATTAAAAAACTTCGCATATACATATACATAGTCTTCTATAGCATTTTCCCATTGTAACATATGCCTGTTTTTCCATGTCTACAACTATAAATCTACTCCATCCATTAATATTTAAGCATAGTGTTCTATTATGTGGATGTTCCTCAGTGTCCCCCTTCGATGGACTTCTAAGTCTCTGGATATTTTTATTATTATAAGCAGTATTGCAAAGAAAATGAATTTTATACATCTGGCTCACTTTGGTATTTAGTTCAAATAATTGCTAGATCTGAGTTTAAAGATTAAAGCGTGAGAACTTTAAATGTTGCTATTTCTCACCATCTTGCCTCTTGAACAGAGGGACTAGTTTGCACTCCTGAGAAGAGTGTACGCCTGTTTCCTTCATCTTCACGACCACTGTTCTCCCTGGGTGTCTGTCCTTTTCTTACCCATCCACAGGGGCTCTTTTTTGTTTCTGAATTTGAGTGATTTGCCATTTAGATATTTTGCAAATATCCTTTCTCATTGTCTTTTTCACTCTGCTAAGTCTTCTGATAAAGAGAGGTTAGTGGAGTCCGATTTATCTGTTTTCTTCGTGATGCTAACCCTCTGGAGGTCACCTCTGGTGAGTTGTACAGATTCCTCACATCTTTCGACCCATGACCTCTGGGGGCCTAAAGGTATGAGGGTATTCCTTTACATACAGTGTCTTCTAGTAGTTCTAGAATTTTGCCTTTCACACTTACATCTTTAGTGTACCCACAGTTGATCTGTTATTTGAGAGAGACATTTCCAACCTCATTTTTCTCATATGAAAGCTGTTATCCCAGAGCCATGTATTGATCCATTCACTGTCCGTCATTGTGCCCCCTCAAACAAGCATGTATGTGTGTGTTTCTGTACCTGAGCTCTCCATTATTTAAAAACAAACAAATAAAAAAAGCCAGGCATAGTAACACATGCTGTAATCCCAGCACTTGGGAGACTGAGGCAGGAGTATCTCCATTTTGAGGCTAGTCTGTTCTACATAGCGGCCCTGTTTTAAAAAAACAAAACCAAGGGGCCAGGGATTTGGCTCAGTGGTTTCTCCGCCTGCTGTGCAAGCACAAGTACCCGAGTTCGATCCCTGGTACCAAAAAAAAAAAAAAAAAAAACAAGCTGGGTATGATGATTCAAGCCTGTAATCGCAGCAGTTGGGAGGCTGAAGCAGGAGGATCACTGTGAGTTCAAAGCCAGCCTGAACTACATAGGGAGACCCTGTCTCAAACAAAACAAACAAACCAAATAAGTAAATAGATAGAAAATAGTAAATCTGTGAAACCATAACATTAAATTCAGGTGTTTAAACTTTGCTCTTTCTTTTCAGATACAAGGGAATCACAAACCCACGGACTCGGCTCCTCTGGTTCCTGCAGACTTTCCTCTTCGGGGTGGCATCCCTGTCCATCTTGATTGCCTACCGACCAAAGCGCCAAAAATGCACATAAAGGAGCTGGCCCTTCCAACCTAGTTAAGACCATCTGGCTGCTCATTTTTCTTTGACATTCTCTGGTTGAGCTTGAATAGGCCAGTGTTACTTAAGAGAGAAATAAGAAACAACTGTGGCTCTCCATTTCTGCACACTCACCTGTTAGGCAGTGGCTTCAGCCACCTTGAAGTCCATGGCTCTCCTGGGCTCTCCTGTCACCTGGGTGAGGCACATGTTTGATTTGCTTGCTAGGGTACATTGCTCTCCCACCCTCACTCCCAACCATTTCCACTCTCCTTTCCCAAATGTTTTTCCGCTCTTCTGGACCAAGTGACACTTGCACAGTATATCAATTCTACATACATTTATCAGGCACCTCTGAGGCAGGGTTCTCATCCTCTCAAACCGCAGAGAAAGCCAAGAAAGACAGGTGCCCAGCATGGGGCTGGCTGAGCGACTACACAGAGGCCCAGGGACATGCCAGACGCTCCCAGCCAGAAGTAACCCATCCCTGCATATGGCCATGGGACAGAGCACTGGATAGTGGCGGAGTCTGGTGGCCACAACTAGATGGTTCCTGTACCTCAGGGCCACACAGCAGACCCTGTGACATTTTACCAGCAGGTGTCCTGTCCCCCACCAGAACTGAGGCCCCTTCCGTGTTACTCAACAAAGGAAGGACGCTGATCCCACTTTCTATTTCTCTGGATTCCAGTTTTATGCAAGAACTACTGAAGCCACACAGTGTCTCCTCATCTCAACAGAAAGGCACGAGCCTGCCTTTGACTACTGAGGCCGCCTTTCTCAGGTCCTCCAGGGGAAGCCTGGATCTTTCTCCTGCTTTCCTGCTCTCGGTCACTTTCTCCTTCCTGCAGCGGATTCCTTAGTCACCCTCCATCCTGTTCTAGAGATCCATACCCATGTGTTACCCAACTCATTACTGCCTCCCCTATTCGCCTGTTGGGGAGGGAGAGCCACTGTCCCTCTCCCCTACCCTGGCTGAAAGGAATGACTCTCTCACCCTCTGAGGAGCACCAGCCTCTTCTCTGGGGACTCTTCCTCCTTTCCCTTCCATGATACAGTGGGGCAGCAAACATTTATGAAAAACAGCTCAGCCCCAAACAGCCCCACAATGAAAGCCCCACCCCTAAAGGTTATGGACCCTGGGTCACTTCTTGTTGAGATAACTTTTGGGCCAGGTATGGTGGCACACACCTGTGCCTCCGGCTGAGGCAGGAGGATAACTGAGTTTGAGGCCAGCCTGGGCTACACTGTGAGTTCAAGGCCAGCCTGAACTATGTAGTGAGTGAGACCTTGTCTCAAAAAACCAAAAGAAAAAAAATTTGGAAACTGTATTTCAGTCTTTCTCTTGTGATTAAGGGGTTGTTTTTTGGTAAAGAGAAAGGAGTTTTGACTGTGGAGTTAAGCATTGTGAAAATCCAACCTAAATGTTTTTAAAGCCTGGTCCTCTGCAAAGGCAGAGTATGGTGAAAAAATGGACTGACTTGAATAAAATGGACTACTGTCTCCAACAAAACGCTTTTCTTTCTTTTTGCTTTGTCAGTTTCCATATATTGCCTCACATTTGATTCTTTTTCTCAACTAGCTCTATTATGGAATTGTTTGTACAATCGAGTGTCTTGCACTAATAAGTGCGAGCTGCTGTGGTGGTAGAATATATGTTTCTTCTGTTTGTAGAACTGCCCATGGCACTCAGACTCCTCCACACTCGGTGGGGCACTGGGGTGGACACCAGTGTCTTTTCACTGTTCCATCATCTCCTTTATGTTTCTTCATTGAGAATTTTATTTTTTATTTTTATTTTGTGTAGCTTCTCAGCCTTTTAGCTAAGATCAAGTGTATTTTTATTTTGTGTTAGGGTGTGGCAAAGTTGCTAAATTGCCCAAGCTGGGCTCATAGTTTTAATCCTCCTGCCTCAGCCTCCGGAGTGCTGGGATTATAGGTGTGTGCCACCATACCCAGCTGGCTCCCTTTTATTAGAGAAAAGTATTTAGGACACTAGATCTAATGCTTTCCCTGCCACTTCAGGGTGTCACTGCAGTAAACAAGGCTAGGGAAATTGATTCTTTAAGAATCATGATACCGGGGCGGGGGATTTAGCTCAGTGGTGCTGCCCCCTGCCTCAAAAGTGCAAAGTCCTGAGTTCGATCCCTGATACCAAAAAAAAAAAAAAGGATCATGATACCAGTATGTCCTTTAACTCACATTCTGTACCACAGGGGTCCCTGGCCCTATGCCTCCTGCTCCCTCTCTAGGGAGCTCCCTGCTTCCAGCAGCATGCATGTTGGGACTGTCAATCCTGCCACACGTACTGCTTCATCATACAATTGCTCCATGCTCAGCCACTATTACTACAGACAACAAATAGTCTTATCCTTAAGTCAGAGACATTATCCTTTATTTGTTAGATGGTATTCAAATTTAGGATTTTCTTTATCGCTTTGTTTTGTTTTGGTTTTTTGTCTTTTTGGAAGGGGTTCTGGAGACAGGGCCTCCCTTAAACTCATTATGTAGCCCAAGCTGGCCTCAAACTCAAGATGATGCACCTGCCTCAGCCTCCCAAGTCCTGGGAATACAAGCATGCACCACCATATCTGGCTTTCCTTATTGCTAATTTTCTAATATCCTTTTTATTTATTTTTTTTTTTTGAGACAGGGTCTCTCTATATAGGTTAGACTGCCCTCAAACTCATTGTGACCCTCCTACCCCAGCCTCCCAAGTGCTGGGATTACAAGTGTGCACCACCAAGTCTGCCATAACATCCTTTAATATATAAGGCATTGGCAAGGTCAAAAAGGCAAAACAGCTGAGCATGGTGGTCCACATCTATAATCCCACAGCACTCGGGAGGCTGAGGCAGGAGGATCACCACAAATTGGAGGCCAACCTGGGCAACATCATGAGTTCAAGGCCAGCTTGGACTACATATAGAGACCCTGTCTCAAAAAAGAAAAAAAAAGAGGCAAGTAATATAGAAAGACACACTTAGAGAAGCCTCCTTCCCTCCAATCCCTTCCATCTCCTTCCCATCCACCTCCTATTAGGGTGGGAGGTGTTATAATGTGTATTACAGGTGGTTGGTTCAGCAGCTTCCAGAGACAGAAATTGCCACAGACCAGCTGCCGTCGATGTCGATGTAGTGTAGGAAGGGGAGATGTCCTGGGCCGGCGATGAGAAAAGAACCTTCTCAAGCAATGTTCAGGTTCCCTCTGAGTAAGTCTCAGGGTCTGATTTATTTTTATATCTTTAAGCAATAGCTGGGAGGCATTGGGCAGAATGTTTACATTTTAAATTGCCTTAGCAATTTCTATTGAAGTAAAGGTTATTTTTTGTTAAACAAAGTACAATTCCTCTAAGCTGTTTCATTTCATTGAACATCACAAATACATATTTAAACATTACAATTGTCCCCTTATTTACCCACACCTAAACAGAACAGAAAGTAACTTAATCAAAATCTTTATATCAGCAGGGGTTCAAGCGAGATTTAATCAATTAAGTGTCAAACTTGTGGTCGCCAGCTGGCCCTTGAGAAACTGCACAATGGTTAATATAGTTTGCTCTTAGCTCTCTATTTTTCTATACCTCTGTTCATCTTAACTAAATGTCATTTGGGTTCATAGTCTATGAGCAGGAGATACTTACAGCACTTTGAGAAATACTGAGTAACTTGTCTCCTTAATGCATTTACCTGTCTTAACTTTCTTTTTTTTTCCCATTTTCCACTATTTCTTACATCTAAAGTCTGTCCTTTCAATCTCTTCATAAGACCCCTTTAGTAAAAAGAATGTCAGCAATAAGAGGGGGAGTTATAGTAGTGGGGAAACGGGGTTTTAGGAGAGGTTTCTTTAGGAGTGGATGTGGCAATAGAACTAAGAGAAACTGAAATTTGGGACTTTTGAGCCAGATCAGATTTCAATATATCATTACCAATTTGTCTCATGGAGAGTTTGTTGTTAGCCACAAACGCAATGACTCCTGTGATCAGAGTAACAATTATAAACATTATGGCAAGAAAAAATAAAACATGAGGGTACGATGTGTTCCACCCTTTCTTTCCCCCAGCTGGAACTTTGTCAAGCAGCAATGGAGGTCAGTTGGGCTTTGCCAAGAAATTGTCCCCTTCTGCATCACATCAAGCCCAGCAAGTGCAAGCTTTTATACACATGCACTCACAGGAGAAGACACCACCGTTGTTCGAGCTCTCCTGTTCACCCTCAGCACACCTGGCTGTGGGTGACCATCTGCGCCAGTTGCCTTCCTCCTGAGGAGTGATAAATCTTTCTTCTCCCACACAAGCAGGTGGCCACAGCTTCGAGCAAGTTACAAAGACAGTTACAAGGACACCGCACTGCCTTCCTCATATTTACATTTCAGAGAGAGGCTCCCAGCCCTTCATCAAAACATTCCTGGACAGTAGCATAGTCTAGAGGGTTGCCTGGCATTTTAAAAGGTTCACATGTACATCAAGCAGGATATAAGGGCTCCTAAATCCAGTTTTCTCAGGAAAATGCTCTAAGAAAAAACAGAGAACTGGGATGTAGCTCAGTAGTAGAACAACTGCCTAGCATGAAAGGGGCCCTAGGTTCAGTCCCTGCTAGTGCAAATAAAAGAGAGAGAAGGGGGAAACATTTTTTTCCTTTGACAACAGGGAAAATGCAACATTATTTTTATTTATTCTTATATAAAAGCATCATTAACTTCTGGTTTATCTTCCCTGTATGAAATTTTGCAAATAAAAGTAAATACATATAAATAGTCTTACTTCACCTTTCTCCTGCCCATCAGTTCCCGAAAGAGATGCCACCAGGGAGTAGATTCCCCAGGCAAAGACGGGCAGAGTCTTTCACAGAACATCTGAAATGGTATTCTGGGTGTCTGTCCCCAAGAGAGAGTAATAAATACCACCAAGAACCAGATTTTCAAGACCTTTGTGCTTTCTAACCCTCTATAGAATCCTCAGTAATTTTTTGTTTTGTTTTGTTTTTGAGACTGGATCTCACCATGTAGTTCTTTTTCTCCCTTTCTTTATTTTTTTAATTTTAATTTATTAGTACATGGGGGAAGTTGGTACATGTACACACACTTTAATTCCTTTTCATCTCCCTTCCCTTCTCTCCCTCCCTCCTCCAACTACCTCTTAACCCCTCCTCCCTTTTTTGTCTATGTTTGCAGCATATAATATCTGAACTCACTTTGCCACTCAAGCTGGCCTCAAACTCACAGTGATCCTCCTGCTTCAGCCTCCTAAGCGCTGGGACTTGATGACTCTGCAGTTCTCATGATCTTCAATTAGTTGCCCTAAAATGATCAGAAAACCTAAGCTGAATTATTTTACCTTCTTGGATTTGCTGCTACAGTACTAGGATATGAACTTATCCATTCACAGTTCAGATCAGGACAAAGGTCCCAAAGAGGAAAGACTAGATTTGCATTAATCGTGCAAGAATTCTGCTTCCCAAGAAAAAAATACAGTAACAACGCCACAACCCACCTAGAAAGCAGATAAATAAGCCACATTTCACCCATCATTGTTATTGCTGTTGTTTCTCCTTAAGGGCAAAGGCAGCAAGCAGAGTGTACGGAACAGGGCCTGGGCCTGCCATGACAGCTCTGTCACCCACAATTCAGTAACCAAATCACCTTGGTTAAATTACATCCTTTCTTCAAGTCTGAACTCTCCATCCTTTGGGAACAAGACAGGTTAACAATAAAGAAAACCCAGGCTTGCCAACTTGCATAGCTCATCTTATAAGCCTCCGAAAGTCTTTATTTTGCTCAGCTTAGCTAGAATTGCATTAAACTACACAAGATATGAGATGAAACCCCGACCACAAACATGACTGTAATCAGAATGCTGGAAAGGACTGCAGAAAACCCCACCAGCCTCGTTTTACACTGGGGGAAACTGAGGAAAGTAACCTCCAACATCCCACAGCCAGTTTGGTGGCAGATCTAGTCCCTGGTGTCACACCACTTCACAAAGCTGCCCGTCAGCAGGGCTGGCCGAGACATCCAAAGCAATGCTCTCAGCAGCCTGCCTCATCTCCCAAGTATTTTGTGACTATTTTCCAAGGATGATGCATTGAGAGAGAATAATTTCTCCCATTGTTAGCTCCCTTAAATCCTCACATCCTGTGCATGTTCCTGGCGCCTACCCTTGATACGGTCTCCATAGCAATGCACAAATAATGCAAATGCTCCGCAGACCCTGGGGCTTCTGGTCAATGGTTAAACGTACAGCAATAATATGTTGCACATGTCCTCGGATCAGGGGTATTCATAGCATTTATGAAGCTTTCACATCTGCACAGCCAGAGTTTGTGGGCTTGTGTTCTAGGTATTAGAGCATTTCCTAGGAAACCAATAATAAATACATTATGAAATTTCACCATTCAAAGTGTCACTGGCACTGTCATGTCTCCTGCAAAACATGCTTTGACCAGAGAGGGTTCCTTATGCAGTTCCACCATGTCCTTCGAGTCTGCAGGAAGCCGGCAGAATGGCTTCTGTGT